TGTTTTTAATTTATAAATCGACTTTTCGTACATATATTTGTACTTTTTATGGTCTTAACGTTTAAAAGAAAGTCCCTTGAGTGACCTTCTATAATTTCAACGTACAAAAAATTTAAATGGCGGGTTTTCAATCAAAAAGGTAGTTTTAAACTCTTTTTTAAGCTCCATCCTAAAAGTGAGTGAGCGTAGCGAACGAACTAACCTGAAGGCAAGTGAGCGCAGCGAACGAGCTCCACCCTTAAGGTGAGTGAGCGTAGCGAACGAGCTAACCTAAAGGCAAGTGAGCGCAGCGAACGAGCTCCAACCTAAAGGTGAGTGAGCGTAGCGAACGAGCTAACCTAAAGGCAAGTGAGCGCAGCGAACGAGCTCCAACCTAAAGGTGAGTGAGCGTAGCGAACGAGCTAACCTAAAGGCAAGTGAGCGCAGCGAACGAGCTCCAACCTAAAGGTGAGTGAGCGTAGCGAACGAGCTAACCTGAAGGCAAGTGAGCGCAGCGAACGAGCTCCAACCCAAAGGTGAGTGAGCGTAGCGAACGAGCTAACCTGAAGGCAAGTGAGCGCAGCGAACGAGCTCCAACCTAAAGGTGAGTGAGCGTAGCGAACGAGCTAACCTGAAGGCAAGTGAGCGCAGCGAACGAGCTCCAACCTTAAGGTGAGTGAGCGTAGCGAACGAACTTCAACCAGGATTTGGTTGAGCCATGCGTTTAGTTTAATTTTTTTCCCATCTCCACCCCAAATTCGTGTTTAAACCTGAAATTTTACCTTATTTTCCCTATTTTTGGTGATTTTTACTGCGCAAGGGGTCCATTCTTCATGCCGATAATTTTTTTCAACCCCCCGCCCCCGAAGGGGGCCTAAGATTATTTAAAAATATTATTTTACCTCACTCTAACTCCCAAGACTTTATACCGATGCTTATTGATGTGAAGAAAGTTTTAGAGGTTGTGACTAAGCAAATTTAATTTATCATAGCACCGGCCCTACATCGAGACTCTTACATGTCAAGACTGGTTTGGTTTGCACTAAACAACCCCTATATGGAATACTTCGCAACTGCCAAGTTATCACTACCTCTTTTACGCAAAAATGTTTCCGGACAACATCCTGTCCCCCGTGAACATTTCTCATCACGGCTACTATTAAAAGGGGGCCTGGGGGCGGAGCCCCCAGCGAGCACAAGGCGAGTCCATATAACTATACAGCCGCTTGTGTAACTGACTGACTGATTCATCAGGTATACAAATCTTTGGGCACTTCTAGAGTAGCTAGGGAGCTGAAATTTTCGGTGGAGGTCCGTATGGGTCCCAGACCACCAGGAAAATCCCAAAAAGTTACATTTTCAAAATGCAACCCCCCCAAAAAAATTCCATTAAAAACGCCCTTTTTTGGGAAAAACACGTTTTTTTGAAACAGCTGTAGCTCGAAAACGGTAAGAGCTAGAATCGATTTGAGGAAAAATCGTGAGTTCGCAATTAAATTTTCTACAAGACAGTTTTATCAGAGAAGGCGTCATATCGAAATTCGCACTCCTTCACCTTCCAAAAACGCTCTACTTCCAAAAATTGTAAAAATTCTTGATTTTTTTAAGTGTTTTTAATTTTAAAAACGACTTTTCGCACATATATTTCTACTTTTTATGCTCCCAACGTTGAAAGGAAAGTCCTTAGAGTGACCTTCTATAATTTTAACCTACTAAAAAAATTCAAAATGGCGGATTTTCAATAAAAAAAGATTGTTTTTTAACGATTTTTTACGTATTTCTTATGGAAAATTTGCATGCATTGACAGGCAAACTAGACAAAAATGTAAGTAGGTGAATTATGAGCTTTTGGCGTCAAAATAAGCTTTTTTTGATAGTCGTTCCGATGAGAGAATAAGTAGAGTGTGGCATCACCATGGTAAACACGTTTTGGACGAGTGACGTACGATATTTTACGCCATACTACTGTAAGCTAACTCAAATTACGATATATTCACGATTAACAATTTTGAGTGAGGTCATGTTTTTGTTTACAATCATTAATTTCCAAATGAAATCAGCTTGTTGGTGTCCAGTAAAAACAATTTATCAAATTTGTTTCATTCGTTCAAAACTTGTGCCGTAAGTGATTTTCCGGCACTTTGATCCATTACTCCCGTCACCGGCTCGCCTCGTACATAAAATAGCTAACTAGTAAAAAAAACAGCGTTGCCTCACTCATAAAAATGCCACTCTCGGTCCTAAAGCACGGGTCACACTAGGCTGGCATCAGCGGCGAATTGAAAGAAGCCGCGACTGTCAGCTTAATGTGACCACAAAATTCGCAGCTGACACTGAGCTGACTCAGCCTGGATTAGTGAGCCGGCGATGCTGGTGCCAGCTGCTGATCACCAGCGGCTGGCGAACAGCCTAGTGTTAAGTCAATGGTCCTAGTAACGAAACATAATATTCCTATATTCAATCGGCGAATCCCCCCATTTAACTACCCTAGAATTAGTTTGAAACTGGTTCTAGACAAGCTAGCAACTTAAAATGTTTGTAGATGTGTTGGTACTGACCGTAGTTTTCATTAGCATTTTCTATGGACATTCAGAAAGCTAAATAATAATCACAAAAAAATCACTTTTTTCCACTAAGGCCAGTGTGTTTACTCCCAATTGGTAACTTAACATTGCCTTGCCTTGGACTGGTAAAACACTACCCAAAGGAAACGTATACTTGTATAACAACTTCAAAAGTGTGTCAAAAAATTGTAAATGATTATTAGTTAACGAAGGCCTATATTGTAACGTAACATTGTTTTCATATTATCTTCATATTTGAACAATTAATTTCAATATATAAGTATACATTTGACATCTCAAACGTTAAAATTTATCAATAAATAACGGAGTAATTTAGTTAACACATTTATTGTGTTTACAAATAATAAACACTTTGATAGCAGTTACAATAATCATAATTTACCATTAGTTCTATAGAGCATATTTATAAACTATTTTATGAACAACTACACGGGTAGTCTTAGTACAGTATATTGCAATAATAAGTAATAAATGCAATAATTGTATATGTTTGAAGATTTATTAAAGAACGACCGAATCTGCGATTGGATTTAAAGGTGATTTTGCATTCCACTGGAAGCAACTACGCTGACAAAAACCTCAACTTCAAAAGTGTGTCAAAAAATTGTAAATGATTATTAGTTAAAGAAGGCCTATATTGTAACGTAACATTGTTTTCATATTATCTTCATATTTGAACAATTAATTTCAATATATAAGTATACATTTGACATCTCAAACGTTAAAATTTATCAATAAATAACGGAGTAATTTAGTTAACACATTTATTGTGTTTACAAATAATAAACACTTTGATAGCAGTTACAATAATCATAATTTACCATTAGTTTTATAGAGCATATTTATAAACTATTTTATGAACAACTACACGGGTAGTCTTAGTACAGTATATTGCAATAGTAAGTAATAAATGCAATAATTGTATATGTTTGAAGATTTATTAAAGAACGACCGAATCTGCGATTGGATTTAAAGGCGATTTTGCATTCCACTGGAAGCAACTACGCTGACAAAAACCTCTTTTTACATACATTTATTTTTACATGTGTTATATCTTTACGATTTTTAAGTAAAAACAAAGGCTATTTTTTCCATTGTATCAATTAAGACATATTAAGTTGCGCCATAATAGCCACTGGGAAAACGAGCACTGTTTTTTTGTTATTGGAAAATTACAAAATAAATTAGTAATTTTGGCCTTTTTATTTAGTACGTTCCTTGTCTGAATTTTATTAACTATACAGCACGCCTCATTATTAAACATGTTTTAATACAATTAGATTTATTATATTCTTACAATTCTGGCTGTACATCCCTTATCCGCAGGGAGGCCGAGGAAGGGTGGTCAGTGTACACGTCATCACCCCCACCATGTGGGGTAGGTAGTAGAAGGGGTAGGTACTTTCACTTTTACCGCGACGCCACCCGACGCCAAAGAAGGTCTCATTCGCTGTTCAGACACGTTCCCTTGTGGTCCGTTCTTATATCTACTCTTCATCCTTACTTGAAATATAATCTTCTTTTCGAAATATTTTCTGCCTACCACTAAATTTAAGTGGTCAGTTATCATTCGTACAATCTAATTGTACATTTCGTGGTTTTTGTGCAATAAACTGCGATATTTTCATCCCTTTAGTTTTAGTCTTCTAGTTACTGATTGCTGTGCTGGCAGTTTTTAATATATGAGCTGTCAGTGGACCCAATAGCTTTCAAGTAAATACAAAATCACCTTATTTTTATCCCTCAATATCCGAATAGCTGTTTACTGATTAATGCCAACAATAGTTGTCAGTGAACACATTAGTTCCTAGGTAGCTACCTGTAGTAGGTAGTAAATATTATAACTATTTTATCCCTCTTTTCAGTTACAGATTTTTCTGTACTGAAAAATTTAAATATTGGTTGTGAGTTATTAGTTATTAGCCAGTAAATAGTATACTGGGTATTGAATATTAGGCAATAGATTTTTTTTACATTTTAACTTTTAGTTTGCTATTTTCGTTTTTCCCCTTTTTGTGTTCTACGAAAATAGAAAAATACGCGTTATACCTAATATTTACCATGACTTTTACTTGCATAGCCTGTGGTTCCTTTAGCCAGGCTGACACGAGGTTTTCTACTTTTAGCAGAAATGCTCAGTGCGTAGCAAATTCTGCATGTGCACTAGGTTGGAAATTTTCTGGTGAAAACTTTTCAACAGTTTCAATAGACGTCATACTGTTCAGTGGGGACAATTTGTATTGTTCAATACGTAGGGGAAACTGTAGTACAGAAAACCGTTTTCTATTCCCTGATGAACTACCAAGGGAGTTTTCAGTTGGAGGGCACATTGTTCATGTAGACGATTTATCTTATGTGCTTGACTCTTTGTATCCATCGAATCAATGTGATCTAGAAAACAGTGTTAGGGTCCTTTCTGAAGATTTACAGCGTCTAATGGCTGAAATAGGTGACGATAGTGGGTTCTTGTTCACGGGGCTAAACGTCACTGTTGCGTTTTGGCGTGATCAAGACCAATTTTATGTATTTGATCCACACGCTGTGACTACAGAACGAAAATATGATTTCATAAATTCCAGTAACAACTTAGCTAGACTGTTTGGCTGCAATAATTACTTGTCCTTATCATCATTGCTGCTTTCGAATTCTGTATTTGATGGTAACACGCGCCAGTTCACCATTACAAAGTTGACTTTCAAAAGGCCCGCAGATCAATTATCACTTGTCGAAAGCTCTGCTCCCCTACTAACTCCTACTAATGCTGATAATGATGACAACTTACCGTCACCTACACCAATGGTCGTTGGTTCTCCTTTAAGGAAAATCCAATCCCTTCCAGATCTTCAAAATATTTCGAAAGGGCCTGGCAGGCCAAAGAAGATCAAACGTGGGCGACCAAAGGTTCTTGACACAACTAGGGAGGAACAGCTTAAAGATGCCAAGAAAAGGTATAGCGATAAAAATCTTGATAAAAATCGCGAGGACGCGAAGCGATACCGTGATGACCACCCAGACCGGTGCAGTGACTCTGCACGACGATACAGCATTGATCACCCCGATGTCCACCGTGATGCTGTTAAACGGTACAACGTAAACCACCCTGAAGTGCATAGGGGTGCCGTTCAACGATATGACAGCAACAATCCAGAAGTACATAGGGTGGCTGTTAGAGATTATGACTTAAGGAACCCTGAAGCTGCTCGTGAGAGAATACAAATCTTTCGGCTAAAAAATCCAACATTGTTAGAACTCCGTCATTTGCCTCTTTCCTTAGCTCGTAGTATTCACAAAAATGGTCCTATGGGGGGTTGGAAAGAAGAACAAATAAATGAGATCTTACCATACAGGCTGAAAAATACAAGTCTTTGGAACGACAATGTTTTCTTGTGTCCGCATTGTGGTGCTCGACTTTTCGAGGAAGAAAAGAGTAGGCGCAAATGGTGTTGTGGGGAGGGAGCGTACAATATTATATCTTTACCTCCCTTACAATGTCCATTTTACGACGACCAACGTTTCTTACAGCGGGCACGTGCATACAACGATATGTTCGCCTTTTGCGCCCTCGAAGTCTCTGGAGGGTATCGTCACCCTAGTGGGCTATCTTTTTTCAAAATTGAAGGTAGGTTATACCACCAAGTTTATAATATTAATGCTCCTGGCCAAAAGTTTACAACAAGTTCAGGCATTGTTCAGTTTGTTAACCGATCCCGCCTTTATCTAGACGACGGTGAGGAACGCAGAAACATCGCCATGGGAAGATCTCTTGATTGCGAAGTCATTCAAAACATTAACGATTTTCTGACACATGAAAATCCATTTGTTGAACACTATCGTCAATTAAGCAATGAGCCGTCTGTCAGTGCTCATCTAGACTTTGAATTGACCAATAGATCTTCCCATGGCCCTGTTCTAGGTGATAAACAGACTGGGATCGAAGTTCACGCAGTCTTAAGTACAGACGAAAACCCAAATGATCCGCGAAAACTCACGATTTGGAAAGTGGGATCTCCAAGGCCGACCTCCATTGACCTACTAAGTCCCCTAATGGAGCCACTGCAATATCCCTTGCTATATCCCCAAGGTACGCTTGGATGGCACATTGGTGCATTAGATAATGAAGGTCAAAAGCTTACACAGCTAAAATATACCCGCTGCCTTCTACTATCTGAGGCTCGTTTTTCGCATCTAGGTCGCCTTTCTCAAGCATGGCAAGTAGATGTGTTTGCCAGGTACGAGGAAGAAAAACTACGTTTCCTGAAGTTTTGTCAAATGAAAAATACTGCAAATGCTACTCGGGTAGGTCCTTTAGACGAAATTTTAGATGCACAGCCCGGTAGACAGGTTTTGAATGAAATAAACAATGACGAGACCATCATAGGAGAAGGTGGGGTATTGCCTGGTAAGGTTTACTTGCCGAAGTCATTTACAGGGGGCCCAAGGTACATGAAGGTCCAGTATGAAAATGCAATGGCACTAGTGTCCCGATTGGGATTTCCAACTTTCTTTCTCACCTTCACGTACAGTGCTACTTGGGAAGAGAATAAGAAGGCTTGTCCCCGAGGCAGTGGCAGAAGTGATCCTAGTACTGCGTGTCGTATATTTCAGATAAAGCTATTGGAACTTCTTCGGGACCTTCGCTCTGGAGCTATGTTTGGACGGGCCATTTACATAGTTTACGTAATTGAAATGCAGATGCGAGGCCTCCCGCACGCCCATATAGTCTTCAAAATTGATGGCAGTGGTCCGGTACAGGCGGCGGACATCGACGCTCTCATTCGTGCCGATATCCCATCTGAAGATGAGGCTGACGGAAGACTTAGAGGTTTGGTGTTAAGGCACATGGTACATGGCCCTTGTGGGCCAAATCATCGCACAGACTTCCCGTGCTGGGATTTGGTGAATAACCACTGTACCAAATATTTCCCAAAACCTCATTGTCAAACTTCTCACGTTGACGAAAGGGGTTTCGTCGTCTATAAACGAGACCACAGCAATGAAGGAATCGTCATATCAAGAAACAGGGATATCACTGTTCACGACGGATGGGTTGTTCCCTACAATCCCGCTTTGCTCTTGAAGTACGAAGCTCATATTAACCTTGAAGTAGCATCAACTCGACGGGTCATCAAATATTTGTTTAAATATTTAATGAAGGGAGGCTCCCTTCAAAATGTTACCGTCACCCCGTTGAGTAAGCAGGATGACGAAATTGAAACATATGTTACCAAAAGAATGGTTGGAGCCAGTGACGCTTGCTGGCGCTTATTGGAGTTCCCGATATCCAAGATGGAGCCAACAGTCGATTGTTTGCCAGTGCATCTTGAAGGCAAACAGAATATATACTTCCGACCTACGGAATTATCAAACGTGACTGTCAATCAATCTTCAATGCTAATCACGTACTTTGACAGACCACTTGATCCCATCTTCGACGATATTACGTATCAGTCATTTTACGAAAAGTTTGTGCTACAGACACGGCGGCCTACGAACACACAAGCAACGGTGTACAATCATCCAAACGGTACACACTTTATCACTCCTCGTCAGCGTGGTGAGAAGGTGTGTCGTTTGTTTTGGGTTTCACCCAACCGTACTGAACAGTACTATCTCCGGCTTATTTTGATGGTGTTGCCTTGCCGTGGGTATAGTGACATCTTGTCCCGTGGAGGCCCCGAGTGCACATCATTCCAGCAGGTTGCTCGTAAGCTTGGATTGGTCGAAGATGAGGACGAATACAGCTGTGCACTTCGAGAAGCCTCATCGTTTATGGTTGCTTCAAGACTTCGATCTTTTTTCGTGCTTCTGTGCAATATGGGTGCTCCTGCAGCTGTATTGTGGGACGCCTTTCGTAGCTCGCTGTGTGAGGACTACCTCGAGCGAACTCCTTCGAATCCTGGGATGGCAGAAAAACTTGCTCTCATCGAAATAGATCGAAGCTTACGACGACAGGGTTCTTCCTTAATTGACCATGGACTACCTGACGTGCAGGACCATACAACTGAGTTGGGACGTGAATCATTAATTTATGATGTACACCAACAACGGGAGTATGTCGACCTCTGGGAGCCACGGCTATCAGCGGACCAGAAACGCGTCTACGATTATGTCAACAGTTTGCTGTGCGAAAGTGCTACCAGTGAAAGCAGTATGGTTTTCATTGATGGACCAGGTGGTTATGGCAAGACCCTGCTGTTAAGCGTCATTCTCGCCCACGTTCGAAGCTGCAATTATGTAGCACTTGCTGTGGCTAGCTCCGGAATCGCGGCTCAAAACATGGCTGGAGGAACAACTGCTCACAGTATGTTCAAATTGCCACTAGACCTGGGAGATGGATCTGGGTTCTGGAACATAACCAATGGCACCCAGCGAGCTGAACTCATAAGAGCTTCACGTTTAATTGTATTTGACGAAGCTCCAATGGCCCATAGGTTTATCTTCGAGATCCTAGATCGATCTCTCAGAGACCTTATGAATTCGAATGTACAATTTGGTGGGAAAGTCATTCTGTGTTCTGGAGATTTCCGGCAAATTGCTCCTGTTGTTGCCAGAGCACGCACCCCTCGAGATATTGCGTCCGTTTCCCTGCGAGCGTCTTACTTGTGGCCACTTTTCAAAGTTTTCTCCCTAACTACACCGCAGAGAACTATTGGCTGCAGTGAATATTCAGAGTTCCTTCTCAGGGTGGGTGATGGCACAGTTAACTCTTTCACAGAAAAGAACTGTGATAGCTGCTATCTCATTCCACTTCCAAATGTAAGGCATGTGACGTCCCTCGATCAGCTAATTGATTTTGTCTTCCCGAAGAGTGATCTAATTGATCCCGACCTTGTTGCGAGGCGTTCCATTCTATCAACGATTAATGCCAACGCCAAAGAAGTCAACGAAATAGTTTTAGACTCTTTGGATGGTAGGCTGTACGAGCTTAGAAGTGCCGATTCTGTTGATATGGAAGCTGACGATGGAATGGACGTTGACGTACAGCTCTTGAATAAATCAACTGGGAAGGGTGTTCCAGATCACATCCTTCGTTTAAAAGTAGGCTCTGTGTGCCTAGTCATGCGTAATTTAAATATTGCCGATGGCCTAGTAAATGGCACCAAAGTCATCGTCACCCATATCACTAGGTGTTTAATTACAGTTAGGCTACCAGGTAAAAGAGAACCCATATGCATCCCTCGGATACAATTTATGTTTCCATTTGTAGAGGGCTCACCACTTAGAGTTCGACGTCGCCAATTTCCTCTAATGTTGGCCTATGCCATTACCGGACATAAGAGCCAAGGCCAAACAATTGACCGTGTTGGAGTAGACCTCAGGACAGATTGTTTCACTCACGGCCAACTCTATGTCCTTCTAAGTAGGGTGAGAAACCCCGACGACATCCTCTTATTGGTCCAACCACAAAGAGTCATTGATGGAGCTGCATATGCAATGAATATTGTATACGACGAACTCCTTCTCTAAGACCTTGTCTTAGAATTTGCGGTAGGCTAGGGGGCCCGCAGTAAATAAAAACTCCCCGTCGTGATGTGACTACCCCGGCAGTACCATGGAACTGCCTGAACAAAAGTTCCCATGGATTTATAATTAATATGTTTGTTTGATTTGTTATTTTTTTTTTGTTGTTTAAGTGTGTTTGTGTGTTTTGTGTGTTATGTGTGACTGTTTGTGGTTCCGATATTTCCCGGCCTCCCCGTGGCGGAACTGGATATGCCATAGTATATTATCATGCTATGGCTAACTGACAGGGAAAGAAATATTACTTAGTAGTTTTATATACATACAAATTACCATAAATATTTACTACAGTCTATTTAGTTTATATACTACATTGCTTTTTTTGTGTGTTTGTGTGTTTTGTGTGTTATGTGTGACTGTTTGTGGTTCCGATATTTCCCGGCCTCCCCGTGGCGGAACTGGATATGCCATAGTATATTATCATGCTATGGCTAACTGACAGGGAAAGAAATATTACTTAGTAGTTATATATATATATACAAATTACCATAAATATTAACTACAATCTATTTAGTTGATATACTACATTGCTTAACTTACTTTATGTAAATATAAAGAAATGCTACTTTCAGTATTCTCAGCACTGTTCTTTATTGAAGATTACTTCCATAAAAAAAAAAAATCCCAAGTCATCTAAATTATTATATAATATAAGCGTAATTTATACTTGGAGTTACTATGTTTCTTGGCCTCCCAGTGATGGAGCTTGATATGCTACACAGTTTATGACTAACAGACGAGGAAACAATAATTACATAAACAATTTTCATTACCAACAATAATACTATATACAACCATTATGTTTTTATTATTTTAGTTATTACGTAATTTAAAATAAAACACTTTCAATTTCCACGATTACAATTGCGATTGTTCTTATATTATTACTTCATTGCTACAACTACTCAATATAATAATTAACTCACTAAAGTATCCTAATTTCTCGATGCACTCTTATAACATACAACTATTGATTGACGAATAGTTCTTGCTGCTTTATTACAACCCCCCCCCCCCGATGAACATTCCCACTAACCCCCTTAAAAACGGAAGCCTGCCCTGCAAAGTTATCACTGAGTCTTTTACGCAATATAAAATTCCCGGACAACCTCAACCCCTCCCGTGGCTGATTTGTACTTACCCCCAACCAAAAAAGGGGGCCTGGGGGCGGAGCCCCCAGCGAGCACAAGGCGAGTCCATATAACTATACAGCCGCTTGTGTAACTGACTGACTGATTCATCAGGTATACAAATCTTTGGGTCTAGAATAGCTAGGGAGCTGAAATTTTCGGTGGAGGTCCGTATGGGTCCCACACCACCAGGAAAATCCCAAAAAGTTACATTTTCAAATTGCAACCCCCCCAAAAAAATTCCATTAAAAACGCCCTTTTTTGGGAAAAACATGTTTTTTTAAAACAGCTGTAGCTCGAAAACGGTAAGAGCTAGAATCGATTTGAGGAAAAATCGTGAGTTTGGAATGAAATTTTCTACAAGACACTATTAAGCGTTTTTCGAAAATCGCACTCCTTCACCTTCAAAAAACGCCCTACTTCCAAAAATTGTGAAAATTCTCGATTTTTTTACGTGTTTTTAATTTTTAAAACGACTTTTCGTTCGTATATTTGTACTTTTTATGCTCCCAACATTGAAAGGAAAGTGCCTCAAGTGACCTTCGATAATTTTAACGTACTAAAAAAAATTTAAAATGGCGGATATTAAATAAAACATATTATTTTTTAACGTATTTCTTATGGAGAATTAACATGCTACGACAAGCAAACTAGAAGTAAACGTCAGTAGGTGAAATATGGGCGTTTGGCGACAGAAAAAAGCATTTTTGTCACTTCTAGAGAATCTACGCGGCTGAAATTTTTTGTGAAGGTTTGTCTGGGTACCAAACCACCCAGAGAGTCCCAAAATTTAGTTTTTCCAACTGAAACCCGCCAAAAGAAATCCCGTAAAACCCTAGTTTTTTTGGGAAAAACATGTTTTTTAAAAACTGCTGTAGCTCGAAAACGGTAAGTGCTAGAAACGATTTGAGGGTAAATCGTAGGTTCAGAATTAAATTTTCTACAAGACAGTTTTTTCATAGAAGGGGTCATATCGAAAATCTGACTCCTTCACCTTCAAAAAACGCCCTACTTCCAAAAATTGTAAAAACTCTTGATTTTTTAAGTGTTTTTAATTTTTAAAACGACTTTTCGTACATATATTTGTACTTTTTATGGTCTTAACGTTGAAAAGAAAGTTCCTTGAGTGACCTTCTATAATTTCAACGTGCTAAAAAATTTTAAATGGCGGGTTTTCATTCAAAAAGGTAGTTTTTAATCTTTTTTAACGTCTTCCTTATAGAAAATTAACATGCTTATACACGCAAACGAGATCTAAATGTTAGTAGGTGAATTATGGATATTTAGACCAATCCGATTCTAAACCCCCCCTCTTTCATCCCTATTAATAAAATATTTACCATTAGCAACAGGGTGCAGCACTATTATTTTTTTAAATTTATGACAATAGCTAATTTGCAACCAAAAGGCGAGTGAGCGTAGCGAATGGGCTAACCTGAAGGCAAGTGAGCGCAGCGAACGAGCTCCAACCTAAAAGTGAGTGAGCGTAGCGAACGAGCTAACCTAAAGGCAAGTGAGCGAAGCGAACGAGCTCCAACCTAAAGGTGAGTGAGCGTAGCGAACGAGCTAACCTGAAGGCAAGTGAGCGCAGCGAACGAGCTCCAACCTAAAAGTGAGTGAGCGTAGCGAACGAGCTCCAACCCAAAAGTGAGTGAGCGTAGCGAACGAGCTAACCTGAAGGCAAGTAAGCGCAGCGAACGAGCCGATCCGAAGGCAAGTGAGCGCAGCGAACGAGCTCCAACGTAAAGGTGAGTGAGCGTAGCGAACGAACTTCAACCAGGATTTGATTGAGCCATTTTACCTCACTCTAACTCCTAAGACTCGACTCTAACTCCTATCGATGCTTATTGATGTGAAAAAAATTTTAGAGGTTGTGACTTAGCAAATTTAATTTATCATAGCACCGGCCCTACATCGAGGCTCTAACATGTCAAGACTGGTTTAGTTTGCACTAAACAACCCCTCTATGGAATACTTCGCAACTGCCAAGTTATCACTACGTCTTTTACACAAAAAGCAAAAATGTTTCCGGACAACATCCTGTCCCCCGTGACAATTTCTCATCACGGCTACTATTAAAAGGGGGCCTGGGGGCGGAGCCCCCAGCGAGCACAAGGCGAGTCTATATTATATACAGCCCGATGTGTAACTGACTGACTGACTCACTGATCAGGTATACTAAAGATTGGGCACTTCTAGAATAGCTAGGGAGCTGAAATTTTCGGTGGAGGTCCGTCTAGGTCCCAGGCCGCCAGGAAAATCCCAAAAAGTTACATTTTCAAATTACAACCCCCCCAAAAAAATTCCATTAAAAACGACTATTTTTTGGAAAAACACGTTTTTTTAAAACAGCTGTAGCCCGAAAACGGTAAGAGCTAGATTCGATTTGAGGAAAAATCGTGAGTTTGGAATTAAATTTTCTACAAGACACTATTAGGCGTTTTTCGAAAATCGCACTCCTTTACCTCCAAAAAACGCTCTACTTCCAAAAATTGTAAAAATTCTTTATTTTTTTAAGCGTTTTTAATTTTTAAAACGACTTTTCGCACATATATTTCTACTTTTTATGCTCCCAACGTTGAAAGGAAAGTCCCTAGAGTGACCTTCTATAACTTAAACCTACTAAAAAAAATTCAAAATGGCGGATTTTCTATTAAAAAGTTCGTTTTTTAACGTATTTCTTATGGAAAATTAACATGTAACGACAAGCAAACTAGAAGTAAACGTCAGTAGGTGAAATATGGGCGTTTGGCGACACAAAAAAACATTTTTGTCACTTCTAGAGTAGCTACGGAACTGAGATTTTGTGTAAAGGTTTATCTGGGTACCAAACCACCCAAAAGATCCCAAAATTTGGTTTTTCCAACTGAAACCCGCCAAAAGTAATTCCGTAAACCCCTAGTTTTTTGGGGAAAAACACGTTTTTTTAAAACTGCTGTAGCTCGAATACGGTAAGAGCTAGAACCGATTTGAGGGAAAATCGTAGGTTCAGAATTAAATTTTCTACAAGACAGTTTTCTCAAAGAAGGTGTCATATCGAAAATCTTACTCCTACACCTTCAAAAAACGCTCTACTTCCAAAAATTGTGAAAATCCTTGAATTTTTTGGTGTTTTTAATTAATAAAACGATATTTCGTACATATATTTGTACTTTTTATGGTCTTAACGTTAAAAAGAAAGTTCCTTGAGTGACCTTCTATAATTTCAACGTACTAAAAAATTTAAAATGGAAGGTTTTCATTCAAAAAGGTATTTTTAACGTTTTTTTTAACGTATTCCAATCCCATTCCAACCCCCTCTCTTTCATCCCCATTAAAATTTTTAAATTTATGACAATAGCTAATTTGCAACCAAAAGGTGAGTGAGCGTAGCGAACGAGCTAACCTGAAGGCAAGTGAGCGTAGCGAACGAGCTCCAACCTAAAAGTGAGTGAGCGTAGCGAATGAGCTCCAAACTAAAGGTGAGTGAGCGTAGCGAACGAGCTAACCTGAAGGCAAGTGAGCGTAGCGAACGAGCTCCAACCTAAAAGTGAGTGAGCGTAGCGAACGAGCTAACCCGAAGGCAAGTGAGCACAGCGAACGAGCTCCAACCTAAAGGTGAGTGAGCGTAGCGAACGAGCTAACCTGAAGGCAAGTGAGCGCAGCGAACGAGCTCCAACCTTAAAGTGAGTGAGCGTAGCGAACGAGCTGACCTGAAGGCAAGTGAGCGTAGCGAACGAGCTCCAACCTAAAGGTGAGTGAGCGTAGCAAACGAGCTCCAACCTAAAGGTGAGTGAGCGTAGCGAACGAACTTCAACTAGGATTTGATTGAGCCAT